CAAGGCTGGATTTAAAATCAGAGCTGCCACTTTACTAGCTATAGCTGATGCTTTAGGCTCTTAGAGCCTCAGTTTTCTCACCTGTAAAATGGGGATCTTAATTGATGTGGAGAGAAATGTAAGGAAAGCAACCAGCATGGCTCCTGTACACACCGTAAATATTAGCCCTCCCCTTCCCAGTAAGGGCTGATGATTTGATGAATTTTTCTAGTTCAACTCACCTCATGCTTTCGTCTGGGCCAGTTTTATTTAAATACCCATTTATGTGAGTGATTCTCTCAAGTACCCAAATCCCTAGAGCCTCTAAGTAATGATTCTTGTTGGGTCTGAAATTCCAAGGGCAAGTTACTTAATTCATTTAAGGCTCTGATTTCTCATAGAGTTTGAGGATTAAATGGGATAAACTTTGAAAAACATTTAGGCCAGTATCTAGCACTTGCTAAGCACTGAATAATATTAGCTATTATAATTATTAACCTATAACCCCCCAGCCCCCATCACAGTATTTCCTTCTCCTTCCCACTGAATCATATGTATTTGGAAGTTTCCTGTCTCTGTGCAGACACTAATGTTCTGTTCTTTATCTGGAGAGCCAACATCCTTCTTTGCTTGGCCTTCTACATTCTTCCCATCCTGTAAGACTATTTCAGATGTCACATCTTCCAGAAGACCTACCCTGATCCTGTCTACACCCAAAGTCAAAAGCCAGGCTTCCCTGGCAGTGTTCACCTCCCTTAAGCACTCACTACATTGAGCTTTGAGTTTTGGTTCTTTGTCTACATGTTTTTCTCTCCTCCTCAACTGTCAGGCCCTTGAGGGCAGAATCCAAGGCTCTTCCCTGTCTGGGGTTCTCTGCAGCATTTTACAACATCTGACATGAAGTATCTGTTGGGCCACAATTGAATCTCTTTATTTTTGACCTCCTTATTAGATTGACTAGGCAAAAGAGCTACAAGGTCAAAGTTGTTAGGGTCCAGTTCATCTGTTTTTAATGGTGTCACACATTCATAACTGTGCAGGAAACTTAGGTATTTGGGATTGTGTGGGGAGAGTTGGGTCAGTAATGGCCAGCCAAACAAAGGTTCAAGTCAGAAGGATGGTTGTTGAACTTTAAATGTTGGCAGCTGAAGTATCTCTCCTCTTCCAGAGAACACGGGCCATCTTTAACCATGACCGGTGACTTCTGAGAGCCCAGTGATTAGTACTAGGATGGGGCACACTGGCTAACAGGCTGAGGAAGGAACTTCTGATGCACACTTGCAAGGTACCTACCCACGTGGCAGAGAGTCCAGAGGAGCAAGGACTGTGTGCCAGTAACAGAGTAGGCTCTCAAAAAATACTTAATGAGTAAAGGGAGTTTAGCTTTCTCTCCCACTGTGTGGCTCTGGGGTTATTCTATTGACTTTTTCATGCCTCAGTTTCTTCAACTGCAAAATAAGAATGAACCTGATGTTCTTTGACTGTGTGAGAAGCAAAAATGACTGTGATCATGAAACATTCAGCATGTAGTGTAAACAATAATTAGTGAGAATAAGCATAGCTGCCAAAAAGAAATCTCCATTATGGAGACACTTAATGGGAGTAATCTCTAGTTTCTTTGGATATGCCTAAGTAGCATTCATCCAGCCTCTATTTTAGTGCCCTTGTCTGCAGGACTCAGTTTCCTTATGGAAAGTCAGGGAGCCATCCAGTTCACTACCTGCAGTTGTTGAAAGGAACAAGTAATGCAAGTGATTGCAAAGCACTTGCCTGAAATCCAAGGAATTATACAATAATAATAGTAATCGTCTGTCACTGAAGTATTTCCATCTTAGTAGATTGTAAGTAATACATTTTCTCTTTACTTAAGCCTCTCTTTACTCTCTAAATAATGCATTACCCATTGCACTTACAATCTCCTAGCCTGCTCCATGCTTTAAATTGGAATCCGGCCTGCCCACGTGAGCTAACACCTTTCACCTCAAGAGTAGAACCAGGTGATCTTTAACAACAGGACGTTGAGATTTATGGTTTGAACTGTGAGGTGGACCGTCAGCCGTGCAGCAATTCAGGGAAAGAATCCTCACACCTCATTTCTTCATTCAAATGAATTCAACAAATATTTCTTGAGCATATAGTCAGAGCCAGGCAATGTGTTACAAATTCGAGACTCCTCAGAAGGCCACACAGACGTGGAAACTAATCATTGTAATGGAGGTAATAAAAGTTTTACTGAGGATCTGCAGGAAGTGTCTCGGTAACATACAGGATGGAATTACCAACTCGGCCTTGGGAGGAGGCCGTGGAAGTTATTTCGGTTGGTTCAGTTGCAGGTAACTGAGTCCCTTCAGAAAGGGATTTAGTGTGGGGAGGTAGGTGTTTGCAAACACGTTTGGAAGGGCTGGAGGAGCCAGCTCTAGGCACAGCTTCCGAGAATAAATCTCAGAATGGCACTACAGAACCAGCTCACTGAGCCAGTTTCGAAGATCAGAAAGTCAGGGCCCCGAGAAGCCTCTTGGCAACAGAATCACGTAGCCTCAGCTGTAATCCTTGCTAACACGGTGACCCGCACACAGCCTCTTGACCCCCAGGAAGCTAGAGACCAGACACTTCTACAGTAAAACCAAACGCCTCTGCACTGTGTTGGCCTGCAGAAGTGTGGCTGGGCCTCGGTTCTGTCTTCCGCCGTGTTTGTTCTGACGGGTAGAAGCTGGGCCTCGCGTGGCAGCCACACTGTGAGGAAACCTGGAAAACGTGGCCTTCCGCTTTAGTGCCCCCGACCTGCCGTGAGTCCTGCTCGCAGAGGGTGGGAGGGACGTGAGGGAGCCTCCCTCCAGCTCTGCTGCTTGGTCTTCGTGGGGAGAGAGCTGGTTGGCCTGGGGACTGAAGGAGGAGCGAGGACCCACAGGCTAAAGGGCATTTGGAGCAGGGGCAGCTATGCTGAGTTCATATTGCCAGGGTAGCTCTGCGAAATGCATGCCTGGTTCAAATAAACTCAAGTAATTTGAGACAACAGGGGCACAAGATGTAAAAGCAGGAGTAAAAAGACACAAGGAGGGGAAAGCACAGTGGACAGATTTTGGAGGGCTTTGGATTTTAGACTTTAAGCTGTAAGTACTAAGGGGCCATCGAAAGGCTTCCCGGAGTGAGGATGTACGTGTTTGTGTGTCTGTGTGTGTGTGTGAATGCAGGCAAGGACTAGTTTTCCTTGACTGCTGGGCACCTACATGTGTTCCGTACAGCAGTGTGCTGTAAACATATCACTGTGTGTTCTATACAGTGGTGTGCTGGTTATGTTTAACAACTGGCTCTCCAGAGGGTATGCTAACTTCTGTGTTGTGAATGCTTCCAACCTGATCTATTTCAAACTACCAATGTGTCGTCACTGAGCATGGAGTTGGGAAGAGATGTGGACAGTTGACTCCTGGGAGGTGGTTCATACTCGCTCCAGAGTTCCTATATTTGTCGTGTGGGTTAATTCTTTAAAAAACCCCATAAAACATGTAGTAGTTTCATTTCATAAATGCTAAAACTGAGGCCTAGAGAGATAAGTAGTTTACCCAAGTTTATGTAGCTAATTAGTGTTGAACCTAATTTTAGATCCAGGTCGCCATGTTTTCAAAGGTGCTCTTGTAACAAGACTCTGCTGCTTCCCAAAGAGTAATGTGGTCAGATCTTCATTTCAGAAAAATTCCTCTGGCAGTGCAGAGGAGAGTTTGATATTGTCGCATGAAAAGAGTACCAGACGCTATATAAGGGAATCCATGTGTGTGTGTGTTCCAGTAAGATGTGATTTACCGAGGAAGGTGGTGGGTCTGCATAGTATAGAGGTGGGTCAGAGGCAGGCGCAGCAAGAGGTGGGAGATCACACAGAAGGCTACTGAGGAGGGCGGGTGAGAAGGGAGGGGGCGGCACTGAGGCATGGCAAGGTGTCCGGAAGGGAAGCATGGGCTTATTTGGTAGGACTGCCAGAGGGAATTGCTGGCTTTCCATCTCATCAGATGGGGGTGGGTGTGTGGAAAGGGCAGAGTTATAAATGGGAAGTCCGGGGTTGTTTCCAGGTTTCTGGTCTGTAGCTGTGAACGTGGTGGTGCTGCTGGCCAGCAGAGTCATGCGAAGCAGGTTTCCTTAGAGCAGGCTTGTTTTCAGGTTGGACATGCGTGCAGAGAGCCTGTGGAAAATCCAAGTGGGGATGTCCAGTAGGAAAGTGGAAATGCATGTGCTTGGAGACAGATCAGAGTTGGAGATTGTGAGCAAATCAGTCCAGAGATGGTCATTGGAACCTTTTGCTGTGAATGAACTTGCAGGAGAGGGGGGGAGAGGGCTGAGAATAAGCCAGTCACATTGCTTGGGAAACAGGGATGGCCTCAAGGAAAACCAACTCAGAATCATGTTTCTGTAGACAAGGTAAGAACGTCTCCAGCATGAGAGAGGGGTTGACAGTGTTGCACTGTCAGGGATGCCGTGATGCTCCGCCCACATCCCACTTCAGGAGTGAAGGGCTACTTTCCCAGCTGCTATGAACACCTCCCTAGATGAACCCCAGCTGGCAGCCCTTTTGGGGACTGCCCCACCTGAACAAAACTGCCTGGGCCTGGGCCTCACCTCCTTCCCACCTCCGGGGTAGCCCCCATCCCAAGACTGGGGGATAAAGGCCCGACTCCCTTGTCCCAACTTGGGACAACTCCACGGGGCCACCACAGCTCAGACATTCCCCGTGGAGCTGGCTGAGGCCCAGCTGGAGGGTGTGGCAGCCCTGCCTCTCCCCCTGCCCTGTCCTGTCTCCTTCCCCTGCCTTTTGTGGGTGTTGAACCTGCCTGCACCCCAAATAAACATCCTGCTCACGCTTCCCCATCTTAGCATCTGCTTCCAGGGAACCCAGCATGTGACAGATCCCCTTTCCCTGTGTCTTCTGCCCTGTGACGTTGCCATTCCAGGGTGAGCAGGACCAGACCAACCTACTCATTCATCAAATCCCAAAACAAACTGGTGGTGGTGAAAACCAAGACTCTGACTCTTACTGACTGAATAAAGCTTTACTTTAATGCAAAATAAACAAGAAAAATTTATATATTCCTATATAACAACATCCAAAAGTTTTCTGTGGTACAAATGGGATCATCTGAAAAAGTCTGTAAAGAATTCATTCTCTGCCCCTCCCCATATGCCAAAATAGGATTTCACATAATTTATCTTCAGAACTTATGAACACACTTGGTATCATACAAGCACAGGAAAACACTAGGAAAAGTGACTGTATCCACAGCAGGTTTTGTTTTTATGTTCCAGTAGTAAACAGCACTGCAGGCGGCAGAGATGGAACATAACACTGTCTGGAAGAGCTGAGTCAGGGCAGTCTTGGGGGTTAGTTCACTCTGCACGCTGGGCTTGTCCTTAATCCCACCTTAAAAGTCAGGCTGTGTGTGATTCTGTTGCTATTTAAGGACATGAGGGAGAAAGAGTTTCCCTTAGAAGTCAGAGCTGCATATGAGATTCTAGGCTTATTCATTCTCCTTTTTATCAGAAAGGTGACTTTGTAGGGATATCTTATGGAGACTCCTCTTTCTGGTCTCACTGGGGCATCATTTCCACTTAAGTCGGTGTGAGCTGGGAGTACAGAGAAATACTATCGTGGGCTGCTTCTGAATCCATCTCTCTCCTGCCTGATTGCACTAAATCTAGACTTTCTGTTGCTTATGGACTCAGAAAGCAGTAGGGTGTCTACCCAATTTAGCAACGATCTGAAGGCCGTTCATTGTGGAGTTCAGAGTTTAATGCCTATGGGCATTTGACAGACACACATTCCTATCCACACCAAACTCTCCAGATCTCTCTGTCCCTCTGAAACGCTAAGATGTTCCTCCCAAGAAAAAGATTGCTGTGGTTACAGGTCAGGGAATAAACACTCTTAAAGGCTTGACCTGTGTGCGTACCAACCCTGTGCATGGCAACTCAGAATACTGTCTGGTGGATTTCCTTCCGAAGATAGATTTAACTCAAGAAACTCTTTGGAAGGAATAAAGAATCATGTTTTAATTTTGTTAGTGGTGGCAAAAAGAAAGCTAAAGTGAAGTTTCAAACCTGTCTCAGTCAGTGTGCACAGAGTTTCCTCCGTGGGGTGACAGTGGGTATGTGGCTGCCTTTGTGCTCTTGATTATAAGATTTTTGCTCCGTGCTGTACTGTGGGGTCAATGCATATAGGTCTAAAAATCTTAAGAATAAGGAGCTTCACAGTCATTTCTGGCCCCCACTCCAATTTTTGTTGTTACTCAACCATGATTTAAAGAGAATCCTGACTCTGAGCTTGCCTTTCATCCAGTGATGTGATGTTGTGGGGAAGCAATATTATACCAAGAGTGATACTGCCACAGCCCAAGAGAGATGGTCAGTGAGATGCTGTGTTTCTCCCCTTGCAGAGGACTGAATTCACCTGCATCTAAAACTTTTCAGTGGTCTGCTGCTCCCTTTCATCTTTCCACTGCTGCAAAAAGGGACAAAAACAGAGCTCCTTAAAGCATCTAGTGGCTTGAGGCCAACACATCATTTCAGGGCCCGGATACCCCAGTGGCTAGATCAGGAGCTGAGTGGATGTACATTGTTGGGTCTATAGCTTACTGTGGGTGCCACCTTTTCTGGGGGGCTATTAGCATTCTGAGCTACAAGGAGACACCTGATAGAGTTTTTCCAAGGCCTTAAATAAACAGGGAACTATTTCCTGCTACTGGGCACCTACTGATTATAGCTGGGTCTTCTAAATACTCTAAACAACCTGTTCTAAATTCTGGGAAGGAGTTCCATACCTCTGGTGGTGACAGCTGGAGGGGTGGGACACAGTCATGTATGAAGTTTACATTCAGGCTGTTCTTAATTGTCACTTGGCTTGGTGAAGACTGTCACACACAATGTTAGCTTCTTTCGGGCAGGGTCAAATGGGGCATGTGTTACACATCAAGAAAAGAAAACTGCTATAATTTTTTTTTGGGGGGGTCTACTTTACTAGTATCTTCACCTCTTTGGCTGCCCCTCAGGATTAGCAACGGTTTTATTGTGTCGGTATACAACACAAAACCCTGCTCGGAGCAGCTCACCCTGAGCCTGAGTACAGGCGATATTATGCTTACAAGGTAGCAACATGGTGAAAATGTATTCTTCCTACAAGGGCCACTCCAACACACAGAAAATCTCACCTTACATCACTGGCCTTCATGGGATCTTGACCTTAATCCAGAAGGAAGCTTCTAGCTTGGTTACGTCCAATAGTCTACAGAAATTTGGTTAAACTATGGAGCATTCTGAAGAGCTGATTTTTGATGCTTCAGACCACATCATACTTTCCTCATCATTATCTTTTAATGGTTTGTTTAGCTTGCGGGGAAGGCAGCTTGCAACACGTTGGCAGGGAAACCCTACAGCTCACCCTCACCCCACCCCTAGGTGAGCAGGGCCCAATCCTCAACCTCTTTGCACAAATTGCAAAGAATCTAAAGGTGCTTGGCTTAAGGAGATGATAGAGGGCAAAAAACAAGTTGACAGTCTATTTTCAAGAGGGCCATAAGTAAATAGTAGTTGAGAAAATGATACCTCTTCAAATTCAGTGAATAACACCAAGTCTAAAACCAGCAGTTGCATCATTCTTGGTAACAGAACTCTATTTTAAATTAGGGAAGAAAAAACCAAAACCAAAAACCTAAACTGGGCTGGATAGATACTCTATATATTCAATAATACTATAATTTAAAAAATTCTAACAGTCACAGGTATATTAGTCTTGGCCAAAATATGTTTAAATTGAACGCAAGACTTTTTTTGGGCAGAGTCGGAGAGAGGGAAGGAAGAAAGAATTAAAAAGGTTTAAAGTATTTCAAGAGCCACTGAACAATTCAAGTTGCTGTTCCCAAGCTTTGCTGTTTCTCAGTCTTCTCTTGTGTTTTCCTTTGGGTCAGGTTGTAGGTTTTAGGTGTTCTGTTGAAATAAGTAGAAAATAGTTGCAAAGTTCTAAAGAAATTGTAACGGGTTTTGGAGGGTGGAGTTTCGGCTTCTCAAAGCCGTAAGACCTTCTTTTCTCAACTGGAGACCTTGGCCTTTGTCCCGCCCTAACTTTTGTTAATGAAATATAGCAGATATAGAATGACGTAGTTTTACGCTCCTTTTCCCTTCCCTTCTGTTTTCCGGGTTTTTTTTTTTCCTTTTTATTTCCTTCCTCATCAGACTTTCCAGAAAGCATCTTTATTTTCCATTCTCTATCCTGGCAATCACACGCCTGTGAAGGCACACGCACACCCATATACACACACAGTCAGTCACTACCATCTACTACCTGCTGGTTATCACTCCCAAAGAGCACAGTCAGCCCCTCCCCGTCTCCAGGTGCAAACGGCCCTGTTTGGCACCGAGTCTGGAATTGGCATCTCCAGAACCCTGCTTCCTGTGCACCCTAACCACTGGACCCTCTTTTCCCCGAGTACATTTTAGCTCTCAAGTGGGAGCCTTAAAGTAGAGGCCCTGCTTACAATAATTACAGGCAGGAGATTGGGGGATGACTCTGAAACCAGATCTCTCCACGCTATCATGCCTGGGACGAGGGAGGAAGGAAGGTGAGGACCACGGGAATTTCAGTTCTCTTAACCTGACTGCTGCATTGGTCCATGGAAGACATTTCTTTCTTCTGGAAGCTCTGACTAGCTTTGCACGTTCTCCCAGGACACTAAGACTGCATTCACATCTTGCTTTCATATAAAAAGTGAGAAAACGTGAAATGCTTATACCAAATGAGTGGTACCAAGAAACTGAGAAAGTCTACAAGTAAAGAAATGCAGTCTTCCTCTGGGTATAAAACATTTCAAGATCACTCGTCATGTCTGCTGTTGTTGCTTTCCCAATGAAAAAACTGCTCCTTTAGGGTGCCCATATTTGCAGCCACTCTTCCTAGACTGAACAACTCCAATAAGGTGGCTGAAGCTTAGCCCCCAAATGGACGATGATCCTGGCCAGAGATGGCCCTGGGCTGCCAATCCTACGGGGCGTGTGTGTGCGTGCTCCGGGGAGGTGCCCTGTTCTAGATCTCCATAGATATTTGCCTGTTCAATTGCCACTCTTAGTAAGATGAACCATTCTAAAACTATTTCAAATATCAGGCAGTATGGTTTTTATGGCCCCATCCCTCCTCTTCCTTCTGATTTCCCTCCCCAAACTCCTGTCCCTTTCTTTCTCTCTGATTAGCAGCTGAGTGTTGCAACTTCAGTGAGAAAAACCTAATCTGTACCATGGAGAATTCTTAATAGGAAGAAGGCCTTAAGGTGATGCTAGATGTCTTCCTTTCTGGGCTGGGCAGAGCTTGGTGGCATTTAGCTACACGGCTGCGGTCATGGGGTTCTTCTGCCGGGGATCCTGGGCCCGGTAGGGGTACTGGTCTGGGCTGCCCCCTCGGGGCCCTGGTCTGCCCACGTCCTGGTAGGCTGGTACTCTGTGGTGCTGAGGAGGGGAAGGTGGAACATCTTGTCGGAAGGGTCCTTTGTGCTGGGGGGCTGGCGGGGGCGGGTAGTACTGGGGATACCGGACATCTGTGACCCTCAGGTCTGGGGGGCGGGGATAGCTCCCTTTGAGGGGATGCACAGGGTGAGCCCCTGGGTAATATGGAAGCTCCCTTTCCTTGTAGAGGCCTCGAGGTGCTGCTGTCAGATAGTCTATGGGATCCGGTGGTCCTCCCCTGGAAAGAGAAGAACAGACACATCAAAAGCTACCAAGCCGCCTGCCCCGCTGAAGACCTCATTCCTCAGCCTGCCCTGCAGGTGGCGTGGCCACAGACTGGATCTTGCCGTTGGGATGTGACCAGACATGATGTGGGCCCTTAAAAGGAAGAGAGGGGCCCTCTTCTCTTCGCTCCTTTCTGTTGGCCACTGGAGTGGCCATATTAGACCCTGGGGGAAAGCCATATGCTGAGGAAGGCAGAGCAACAAGAAGGTAAGAGCCTGGGTCCTCAGCCTCATGAAGCTAGCATGTCAGTCAGGACCCACTAGTGCCTGAGGGAGAAATACACTTCTGTCTTGTTTATATGTTGGCCTTTATTACAGTAACCAAGCTAGTTTCCTAAACAAGGCAGAGTCTGGCTCTGTTAAAGCTGTGACCACTTGCTCCCTCACCTTCTCCACTGCCCTGAAGCCTGACAGAGATGTGGTGGTGGAAGTGCACATGTTATTTGGAGTTACAAATTTCCCAGGGATTGCATACTTCTCTCCTCAGTCTATGGGGTGCTCTTTACATGGGCCACAGTCTTGGTCTGAGTCTGGTTAGCTTCTGTCACATCCCTGCGTGGATTAGTGTGCCCTCTGCTCTCTATAGTTCCTAGAAAAATTCCCAACGCAGAGCTTAGAATTTCCCACCCCCAAACTTTGATATAAAGCAATTCCACGGCAAAGTCAATAAGTACCACGTGGCCAGTAGCAGATTGCGACAAGCCAAACCAGCTGTGAGTTGCACTGTGTAATGAGTAGGCACACAGAAAGGTCCAGGGCAAGAATAAACACTAACAGAAAGCGACCCTGTCTGGATCTCTCTACCAAGACAACAAGCATCTTCTGATCCATTTGCCGTAACAGAAGCAATACGTCTCTAAACAGTGCACAGATGCCTGCGTCTTATCTAGCCTGGGGTTAAACAGATGAGTTCCGTTTGCAGCTCTTAAAACCTCATAAACCTTCTGTGCACGTATCCATACCACCATCCCCAGATCTTCCCCACTTTCTACCAC